CTCTACAATAAATCAAAAATTAGCCAGGCGTGGTAGCACGCGCCTGTAGTTCCAGCTACTCGGAAGGCTGAGGCGGAAGGATTGCCGGAGCCCAGTAAATCGAGGCTGCGGTGACCGGTAGCAGCCACCGCACTCCAGTCTGGGTGACAGAGTGAGACTCCAACTCAAAAAAAAAAAAAAAAGTTTTTTGTCAAGACGAGGTCTCACTAAGATGCCTGGGCTGGTCTTGAACCCCTGGGCTCAGGCAATTCTCTCACCTCTGCCTCCCAAAGTACTGGGATTACAGGCTTGAGCCACCATGCACAGTCTTATTTATTTATTTATTTATTTATTTATTTATTTATTTATTTATTTATTTGAGTTGGAGTCAGTCTGTTGCCCCAGGCTGGTCTTGCGTTGGCATGCTCAGAGCTCACCACAGCCTTGATCTCCTGGGCTCAAGTGATCCTCCTGTGTCAGTCTGCTGAGTAGCTGGGACTATAATCCCACATCACCATGCCAGGCTAATTTTTAAAAATTTTTTGCAGAGGTTTCTCTATGTTTCCCATGCTGGTCTTGAACTCCTGGGCTCAAGCAATCCTCCCCCCACAGCCTCCCAAAGAGCTGGGATTACAGGCATGAGTTGCCACACCCAACCAGATTATACTTTTTTTTTTTTTTTTTTTTTTTTTTTTTTTTGAGTTGGAGTCTCACTCTGTCGCCAGGCGGGGGTGCAATGGCACACTCATGGCCACCGCAGCCTCGACCTGCTGGGCTCAGGCGATCCTTCTGCCTCAGCCCTCCAAGTAACTGGGACTACAGGAACACGCCACCATGCCTGGCTAATTTTTTGATTTGTTGTAGAGATGAGGTCTCACCAAGTTGTCCAGGCTGGTCTCGAACCCGTTGGGTTCAGCCAACCCTCTCACCTCAGCCTCCCAAAGTGCTGGGATTATAGGCAGGAGCCACTGCACCCGGCCAAGATTATAATCCTGATCACAGCCAACACATCACTCCCCCTCCATGCCAGGCACCAAACTAAAAGCACCTTATCCACATGAGATTGTCACCCTCACAGTCACCCTCTGAGGGAGGCACTTCCATTATACCCATTTCACTTTGGTGGAAACTGAAGCAGGAAGAGTGAAAGCAACTTGTGTCCTGTTGTGCTATTCTGCTTTCTTGAAGTGTTCATTTAAGTACACAAACACACTGGGCGCGTGGCTCACACCTGTCATCCCAGCACTCTGGAAGGCAGTGATGAGAAGATTGCCTGAGCCCAGGGGTTCGAGACCAGCTTGGGCAACTTGGCGAGACCTCGTCTCTACAATAAATCAAAAAATTAGCCAAGTGTAGTGGCACACGCCTGTGGTTCCAACTACCTGGAATGCTGAGGCGGAAGGATCACCTGAGCCCAGCAGGTCGAGTCTACGGTGGCCATGAGTGTGCCACTGCACTCCAGTCTGGGTGGCAGAGAGAGAATCTGACTCAAAAAAAAAAAGTACGCAAGCACACCTGTAATAGGATATTGGGTTTGTGTGTGTATATAAGACGGAGAAACAGAGAGGGGGGAGACAGAGATAGAGAGAGACCCCAGATTTGGAAATAAGCAAATATTAACATTTGATAGATGAGTGAGAGATAATTATACTAATCTTTAACCATAGCCTTGAAATGTTTCAACTTAAATATTTGAGAAGAAAAAAAGGCCAAAAAAATGTTTGCAATTGAATTTTGGATAGAGATTATCTTCGAAGGAGATGGGGGAGTGAGGGGAGTGGGGAGAAGCCAGGGCGGCAGCATTGCTTGACGCTGTGAGCTGACTGGTTGCCTGGGTGTTTGCTTGATGATATTAAATCCATGAATTCCCCAGTCCTGTTTTTTTTTTTAATTTTATCATTCATAACGTGCATTATATTCAATAATTTTCAACGCTTTAAAAATATGATCGATATCAATATCACAACAAATTCAGAGCAACCTCAGTACCCATCAGGCAGAGCCTGGTGAACTCCTTTGGACATATCCTCATGAGAGAATGCGTGACCGCCATCACTGAAGGATCATGTAGCAGATTTCTTTTTTATTTTCATTTTCATTTTTTTTTTTTTTTTTTGAGTTGGAGTCTCACTCCACTAGCCAGGCTCCAAGCTGGAGTGCAGTGGCACACCCATCGACCTGCTGGCTCCAATGATCCTTCCGCCTCAGCCTTCCAAGTAGCCAGTACTACAAGTGCATGCTACCATGCCCGGCTAATTTTTGAGGTCTCGTCAAGTTTCCTGGGCTGATCTCAAACCCACAGGCTCAGGTAATCTACTCACCTCGGCCTCCCAAAGTGCTGGGATGACAGGCTGAGCCACCAAGCCTGACCTTAATTTTTAATTTTAAAGATGTGGGGTACAATTCAGGGTTAAATATGTAAATGTTCCTTATGCAGGTACCCTTGTTGATGCGGTGTGCTTCCCCGTGTGGCAGGTTTCTTACATATTTATTTGCAGTCTTCCCCAAGAAATACTCTTGGTACAAAGCACAGGATGTAGAATGATGTACACAGCAGGTCCTATTTGTGTTAAAATACATATGCATGACAGAAAAAAAAAGGCCTGGAGCGGTGGCTCACGCCTGTCATCCCAGCATTTTGAGAGGCCAAGATGGGAGGATCGCTTGAGCCCAGGAGTTCGAGACCAACTTGGGTAACAGAGCAAGACCTCATCTCTACAAAAAATCAAAAAATTAGCCAGGCGTGTTAGCATGCACCTGTAGTCCCAACTATGGAAAGACTGAGGTGGAAGGACCGCCTGAGCCCAGGAGTTTGAGGCTGTGATGAGTTGTGATCGTGTCACTGTCCTCCAGCCTGGGCAACAGAGTGAGACCCCGACAGGAAAAAAAAAAAGAAAGAAAGAAAAGGAAAGAGGAGAATGGACCCCGGAGTAGTAAGGCATCTCTGGCACAGAGCATTCAACGAGGGATTGCCTGGAGGACTTTCTGAAAGAAGAGGCAGACTTTGGCAGGGTCTTGGAAACCAACCTAGCTAAGGGGCCTTGATCTGGGAAGGAAGACTTTCAGTGCCAGCCTGAAGTTTTCCGTCACTCCCCGGGGGCTTCACCTCAGTGGAGGCGGGCGGACTAAGAAGCCCCTCCTCCCCAAACGCCCGGGCCAGGGCGGAAGGCAGAGACCCGAGAGACTGGAAACAATTTTTCTGGAAGTCTCTGCCGATGAAGACATAGAGGAAGGGGTTGAGGCAGCTGTTGACGCAGCCCAGGGAGATGGTGGCCCAGAGGGTGAGCGGCAACTGGGGGTGATGGGTGTCCTTGTGGGCTGGCATCTGCCGCCCCGCCTGGACCACGAGCGCCAAGTTGAACGGGAGCCAGAAGATGAAAAAGGCACTGACCAGCACCAGCAGCAGCGTCTTGGGCCGGCTGGCATGGACCCAGCCCTCCCGCCGGAGCCTGGCCCGGATGAGGTGGGCACAGGCGCCGATGATAGCCAGGGGTGCCAGGAAGCCCAGCAGGAAGTGGGCCACGGTCACAGCCACCTGTCTGTTCATGGCTGCCGAATCCCAGCTCTTACTGGTCTTATTCTCCACGCTGAACTCAAAGTAGCAGTGTTTGCAGCCATGCCACTCGGCCACAGACCGGAATTTCAGCTGTGGCACGCAGGAGATGACAGCCAGGAACCACACGCCCGCTGCCAGCCAGTTGGCCCGCTGCACGGTTCGGTGCCTCCGGGCCCAGACAGGGTGGAGGACGGAGACGCAGCGGTCGGCAGAGATGAGGACCAGGAGCCAGATGCTGGTGAAGAAGGTGAGGCTTAGGAAGGCGGTGTAGAACTGGCAGGCCCACTTGCCCAGGAGCCACTGGCCGGAGTACACGCTGTGGATGGCCACGGGCAGGGACAGCAAGACGGTGAAGTCGGCCAGGGCCAGGTTGAAGAACCAGACGGTGGGGACCGTGCGGGCCATGCGGAAGGCCATCATCCACAGCACCAGCCCGTTGCCCAGGACACCCACGACAAAGGACACGGACAAGACGGCCACGGTCAGCCAGCGGAGGCACGCCACATCCTCGGAGAGGCAGTTGGAATCGGACATCTCTCTAGGACAGGACAGACTGAGTGTCAGAGCGGCAGGCGGTCTGTCCTGGAGGCTGTGACCCCTTGAGACCCCATTCATGCATTCCTTCGTTCACTGATTCTTTTTTTTTTTTCTTTTTTCTTTTTTTTTTGTTGAGTCGGGGTCTCAATCTGACACCCAGGCTGGCGTGCAGTGGCACGATCGCAGCTCACCACAACCTCGGCTTTCTGGGCTCAGGAGATCCTCCGCCTCAGCCTCCCAAGTAGTTGGGACTAAAAGTGTGCACCACCACGCCCAGCTAGTTGTTAGATCTTGCCAGGCTTGGTGGCTCACGCCTGTAATCCCAGCACTTTGGGAGGCGGAGGCGAGAGGATTGCCTGAGTCCAAGGGTTCGAAATCAGCCTGGGCAACTTGGCGAGACCTCGTCTCTACAATAAATAAAAAAGTACCCAGGTGTGGTGGCTGGGAACCTCTGGAGCAGCTGGGAGTTGGAGCACCTTGACTGGGAAGGGGAAGACGACGGGGAACGGGGGAGCGAGGCTGGGATCAGACCAGGAGCTCAGCACTGGACGTCCGAGCCAGAAGTGCCCGTTAGACGTAGGCGACAACCTCACACAGGCAATCGGGAACAGGCAGCGAGGCCACAGGAGGGAGCTTCCAGCCAGACACAGACTCCGGGGTCATTCGAATCAGGGGCTGCTTACAGCCTTGCACCTGAGACTGGCCACAAGGATGAGTGAATACTGATCAGAGACATCCAGGCCTCCAGAAAGAGTCTGAGGCACAGGCTACAATTCCAGCTGTGACCTTGGGCGGGGAGCTCTCCCTCCCTGGGCCTCAGTGGGCTCCTTTGAGGTGAGCGTCCCTGAACTCCTATCTCTTCTCCTCCCCCCCACGCCCAATTTGGCCCCCAATTTTGCCCCCCGAAAGCCTCTTGCATTCGCCCCCACGTTTCTGCCCCCTGAGCCTCATCATCTGAGTGCCCAGTGCTCCTTTTTTTTTTTTTTGGTAGAGCCGGGATCTATGTTGCTCAGGCTGGTCTTGAACTCCTGGCCTCAAGAAATCCTCCTGGCTGGGCATGGTGGCTCATACCTATAATCCCAGCACTTTGGGAGGCCGAGGTCTGAGGACTGCCTGAGCCCACAGGTTCGAGACCAGCCTGGGCAACACCTGGCTAAATAAAAAAACAAAACACAAAAAAAAACTAGCCAGCTGTGATGGCACATGCCTGTAGTTCCAGTTACTTGGGAGGCTGAGACAGAAGGATCGCCTGCGCCCAGCAGGTCGAGGCTGTGGTGACTGGGAGCGTGCCACTGCCCTTCAGCCTGGGCAACACAGTGAGACTCCAACTCAAAAAAAAAAAAAAAGAAAAGAAATTCTCCTACCTCAGCCTCCCTAAATGCTGGGATTTATAGGCGTCAGCCACCCCACCCCCCAACACATTCCAGTTTTATACCCACCCTCCATAAGCCAATCATCACCACAGCCGGAATGATCCTTCAAAAATCCAAACTGGGGCCGGGCTCGGTGGCTTGCACCTGTCAACCCAGCACTTTGGGAGGCAGAGGCGAGAGGATTGCCTGAGCCCAGCGGGTTCGCGACCAGCCTGGGCAACATGACGAGACCTCGTCTCTACAATAAATCAAAAATTAGCCGGGCGTGGCAGCATGCGCCTGCAGTTCCAGGTCCTTGGAAGGGTGAGGCGAAAGGATCGCCAGAGCCCAGCAGGTCGAGGCTGATACTCATGGCCTGAGCGAGTTCTTCACTTGGAAGAGGTGGCCCAGGACTGTTCGCCTCTTTTCCTCTTTGGCCATCTGTCTCTCTCTCTTTTTTTTTTTTTTTGAGTCGGGATCTCACTCTGTTGCCCAGGCTGGAGTGCAGGGCCTTGATCACAGCCAGCGCGGCCTCGACCTCCTGGGCTCAGGCGATCTTCCCGCCTCCGTCTCATGAGTAGCTGGGACTCCAGGTGCCCACCACCACGCCTGGCTAATTTTTGTATTTTTATTTATTTATTTTTGTAAAGATGAGGTCTCACTAAGTTGCCCAGGCTGGTCTCAGATTCCTGGGCTCAAAAAAGCCTCCCACCTTGGCCTCTCAAAATGCTGGGATGACAGGTGTGAGCCACCATGCTCGGACGCCACCTCCTTTTGAGCACCCTGGCCGCACCTCCACTCTCCCTGCTCCCAAGGCCCCATCCTCTGAGCTCCCTCCCAGCAGGTCCCAAGCCCCTGTCACCATGTGCTGTGTCCAAAGGCAAGTGACCAGGCGAGGTGCTGTGTCTGCCTCCACTGTCTGTCCCAGGCAGCTGCCAGCATCCAACTCAGGTCAGGGTCGCTGGCGGATGACAGGAAGCTGCCCGTGAGTTTTGCAGCCGATAAGGTCTAGGAAAGAGTCTTGAGCAAGAGTCCCTATCTGCCTGTGAGCAGTGTCACAGATGTGGGTCCCGATAGGCCCTGGGGGGTAGGAGCTTGGGGCTGCAGGGAAGGGGACTTCCAGAGAGATCCTTCTGCAACCCCATTCCAATTCTCCTCCTCTGTCCTTCCTGTGGCAGGGAAATCAGTTAAGACCTATAAAGGGCTTAAAACAGTGCCTGGGTCTAAGTGCTGTGGCTCATGTCTATAATTCCAGCACTTTGGGAGGCTGAGGTGGGAGGATCACGTGAGCCCAGGGGTTCGAGACCAGCCTGGGCATCTTAACAAAAACTTGTCTCTACAAAAAATGTTGAAAAATGAGGCAGGCGTTGCTGGGCTCGGTGGCTCAGCCTGTAATCCCAGCACTTTGGGAGGCCGAGGTGAGTGGATTGCCTGAGCCCACGGGTTCAAGACCCACCCAGGGAACTTGGCGAGACCTCATCTCTACAATAAATCAAAAATTACCCAGGCATGGTAGCGCACGCCTGTAGTTCCACCTACTTGGAACGCTGAGGCGGAAGGATCGCCGGAGTCCAGCAGGTCAAGGCACTCCTGCCACTGCACTCCTGCCTGGGCAACAGAGTGAGACTCAGACTCAAAAAAAAAGATAAAAATAAAAATAAAATAAAATAAAATCAGCCAGGCGTGGTAGCGCATGCCTGTAATTCCGGCTACTCGGAAGGCTGAGGCGGAAGGATCGCCGAAGCCCAGCAGGTAGAGGCTGTCGTGGCTGGGAGCGGCCACTGCACTCCAGTCTGGGCGACAGAGTGACACTCCAACTCAAAAAATAATAATAATAATAATAGACTGGGCATGGTGGCTCACGCCTGTAATCCCAGCACTGTGAGAGGCAGAGGCAAGAGAATTGTCTGAGCCCACGAGTTCAAGACCAGCCTAGGAAACGTGGCGAGACCTCATCTCTACAATAAATTAAAAAATTAGACGAGTGTTGTAGTGTGTGCCTGTAGTTCCGGCTACTCGTTGAGGCTGTGGTAGCCGTGGGCGTGCCACTGCACTCCAGCCTGGATGACAGAGACTCCTACTCAAAAAAGCCCAAAGAAACTTCTTTTTTTTTTTTTTTTTATAATTTTTACCAAAAAGTTTAGAAAACTGAAAACAATATAAAGCTAGTGGGAAATTTGACCTCGTTTTAGTAAATTTCATCTATCAGTGGCTGGATGGAAGCGGACTCAATTCTTGGTGCAATCTCAAGGTGCTGTCAGAAATGTTTGTTTGAATTTTGCTCTCTTGGGCTTCATCATGGAAAACAGCTCCTGGCCAACATATGTGCTGCCAAAAAAGCAGTGTCATGAATAAGGTGTGATGGTGAACTTCAAAAATGGAACTCGCATGGGGTCACGAGGAAAATAAACGCTAAAAAATACATAACGTTAAAAGATTTTCATGTGGCTGCATGACTAGCTGTCCTGGGGTGCTGCTGCATTTCACAGACTCCAAAACCTTCTACCTTTATAGATGTCGCAAGAAAGAAAAGGCACCAGGCCGGGCTCAGTGGCTCAGCCTGTAATCTCAGTACTTTGGGAGGCTGAGGTGAGTGAATTGTCTAAGCCCACAGGTTCAAGACCAACCTGGGCAACTTGGCGAGACCTCATCTCTACAATAAATAACAAATTAGCCAGGCGTGGTAGCGCGCACCTGTAGCTCCAGTTACTTGGAAGCCTGAGGCGGAAGGATCGCCAGAGCCCAGCAGGTCGACACTGGGGTGGCCGTGAGTGTGTCACTGCACTCCAGCCTAGGCGACAGAGTGGGACTCCTATTCAAAAAAAAAAGAAAGAAAGACACCGCCTATAAAATGCAACCTGATGTTGATTGATCACTAGGAATTTTTATATTTATTTATGTATTTTTTGATTTATTGTAGAGACAAGATCTTGCCAAGTTGCG